TTTGACCTTTGACCTTTGACCTTTGACCTCCAGCTTCGAAATCCCAACTCGTTTTGACGGTCCCCCACCCCCGATGTGCCAAATATCGTGACCGTACGTCGAGCGGTTAAGATTTGTGCGCAACTGTTGACGGACGGACGGACGGACGGACGATCATGCGATTCTACAAGCTGCATCTGACTAAGTCAGATGAGCTAATAATAGTATTTGTAATTATGCCAGGCACTAATTTGTTGTTAAATATTTATTAAAACAGTTTAAATCTTGGTTTTAAAATAGCCTTATTGGTACTTATAGGTATTAATGGTTAGCACCATTGCGTGTACTGCCTTTTTTCACGGTAATGATGTAACATAAGCTGTGCTCTCAATTATTCTCATTACCTTCAATCATTAAAATAATAAGGATTGCAATGTTTTCTGATTGTTTGGAGAAGATTATGGCTACATAATCATTATGCTACATAATATTGTTTGGGGTTAAATAATAGTTAGTGATGATGTAATATCCGTTTTATGTGTAACAGTTATAGTGGAAGACTCAACCGTCTCTAAAATCCACCCCAAGTCGGTTCAATGAGCTTATCCTTCGATGCCAATTATCTATAAAGTTAGAAATAAACCATCTAAATAATATCACTTTTATTACAGGCTCCTTGTCAGAAATGTGAAAACTAACCTTAAAATCACAACTTCCATCATCGTTTCAAGAGGCAGCAATAAAAATGGCACCATTTGCAACAAATACCTTACAATTTTTAAACAGAAATTTCTTATACTTTTCTATCATAATTTAACAGTAAAATTATATATGGAGCACAAATAATTATATAAAACATTAGTGATTACTCAACTGAAGATCATACTGAAGTGTAGTTTAGCTCATTCATGCAGGAGGGAGCAAAAACGACTGAACACATGTACCATCTTTTTACATTTAAATTAGCAAAATATCACTTAAATCATGGGAGCATGTAACATAATCTAGTGCTTATAGTTATATTGGACAAAGAAAACATGCAAGTTAGCAAGAAACTGGATATTTCATCAATTAAAACTATTAATTTAAAATACTTTTATAAACATTTCCTAACATTGTGCATGCCTTTGTAGAAAATGACAGATCTAACCTATCTTTAACAGTATCGTCTGAATTTCGACAATTTCGTGGGCTTTGGGAAATTTTTTTGTCAATAGAGCTGCGGTCATTTGCACATAAAAGTGAGATAATCTGGTATTGATTGAGCAAGACAAAGTGGTAATGGGTAGTCAGTGTTCGAAATAAGGAAAAAATTTTGCTTGTCCTGCAAAATTTTTGCTTGTCCTGATTAATAACATAGAAATATAGTAAATGTGTAATTAATACATTTTTAATCAAATTAAATTTTAGACCCAATATCTTACTTTGTAATTTTAATGCAGTTCATTATAAAAGTTCAAATTAGGCACCAAGCTTCAAAGAACATAAAAAAGCACAATTATTATTTATTTTGACAAGTTATTACATTTGACTTGTTGAAGTTAAAGCTTCAAAGTTTTATAATAACAATACATGGTCAGTCCTGAGTCCGGTCCATGACCAGCGATGGTAGAAAATGATGAAAAATTGCTCTAAAAAGCTGCTTGTCCAGCGGACAAGCTACTGGACAGGTCTACTTGTCCTCCGTGGAAATGGACAAGTGACGGCAAACGGGTAGCACTTATTTCGAACACTGGTATTGATCTGGGGAGATAAGGTGGCTATGGGTTAAAGGATTACTGCAAAATCAACTAGTGATAATGTTTCTGTTCAAGAATAAAACACCCTCATACTAGTGCAACACAAGCCTTTTTAAAGTTCAGATATGGGAATTCCAAGCTGATTATATATCACAATTTGCTAGCATAGCAAATGTATTAGTGTATTTAGCAAGAATGCTAAGAATTCTCATATTACGTCTGATTAAA